TCATCATCATCATCATCATCATCATCATCATCATCATCATCATCATCTTGGGAGCGTCATCAATGTGCTTTGAACAGTCAGTTTTGGGAGTTGCCAGTTGATTCAAGCTGCAGGTGAACCGGCACTGCATCCCAGAGGATTGCTGGGTTGCTTTGAATGGAAAGGCTCGGAGAAGCTCGGACGCCCCCCTTTTGGTCGGTCTCATCGCTACCGCACGACCGCCAGACTACACTGTACACGACTGAACCTCCAGCCAGGATTCACAAAAGAACATGATGCATACAATATCATGCACTTCTTGTCATGCAATCTATATCAGCCTATATAGCTGCATGCAAAATAGATCATAATAGTCTTCTTTCTTGTTGTTCTCTCTATTGATTTGCTATAGATTTTGCTTATCACTTCCCCTGCTTTTCTCGTTCGGCCCCGTTCCCAAAGTCAGGGCCGGGCCCCACCCCCTCCCACCGGTTGCGATCAGGTCTACGACCTCTCCGAATTCATGGACCGGCATCCGGGCGGCCCGACGACCATCGTGGCCTGGGCGGGGAAGGACGCCTCGAAGTTCTTCAACGAGATTCACAAGGGCGTCAAGACGCTTGGGGGCGAATGGACCGTGGAGTATACGACGACGTGGACGGACTACGTGGTGGGTGGACCTACGTGGCGTGTGGTGCGTGTGCGATGGGTGGTTTGGGGGTTGGCGAGGGTTTTCGGGGCTGTTTTTAGCAGGTATGGGCAGGATGTGGGGAGAGTATGCTAAGACGCGATTCGCGACGGACGTTGTGAGGTGGTTGGATTTGCCGGGTTGGACGGAGGGGTTTTAGTGGGATGACGGATGTGGGATGATGGACAGGATGATGCTTGGGCAACTCCGGAGGTGATTTTTGTAGCTTGTTGGTGGTTTTGGGGGGTTGTTGGATGATGTTGGATGTTGGTGTTGCGGGGTTTGTTGGATGTGAGATGCAGAAGAACACTTGCACCATGCACTTGCATACTTGCACCACAGCATGCAAGAACCTGCAAAAAAAAGGCTTAAGAAAAAGCACGTGCTGCCACATACTTGTAGTTGCTGTGTCTCAATGTATATGTCGTCTATTTTTCTCGAAATCGATCTCTTTGATGATGCATGCGAAAAAGGAGATGACGCACGCCTAGATGCACGCCTCGGTTTTCCCAGGATCGATTCCTATTTGCGTCCGGAGTCCCATTTGGGCAACTTGGGCGTGGACGGGGACCTGATGTCGGATGAATTCTGGCACACGCTCCGGGAGGCGCGGCTTCCGCGATGTGCGATGTGTCGATGTGTCGATGTGCAACATGCATCGATGTATCCCAGACACTCCATGGGACTGGTATATATGCCAATCAGTTGGGGTGGTTTGAGGGGTCAATGTAGGCATATATGGCAGTCCCATGAAGTGTTTGGGGTATATTCATCCAGAGGAGTGGCAAGTGAGTAACGTTCAGTTCGCGCCATTTTCCTTTGGGTTCCAGAGAAATGCAGATGTTTCACAGTGCTTGACGTTATCACTCTTGATAGTAACCTGAAGCTTTCGTTCGACCTGCTTTGCTCACTCCTTTTGACTCCAGGCACGCATTGTGGAGGTTCGCGAGGAGATCGATCGCGTTCTGAGCGAAACAGCAGCCAAAGATGGCCACAAGGCTGACAGCCTCCCTCGCCTCCTGCAAGACAAGCTACTTGTTTTAAGCTGCGCAATGTATCGCAGCAATGTGCGCAATGTTTGTTGCTCTTGGAATGAAACCTCAGGTGTTTTCTGGGATGAATCATCAGAAGTTGACCAGTCTCAGACACTACGAAACCCACTCAGACACGACGAGACCTCTTTCGCCGAATTCGCCGACATCTTTCGCCCTCCACGGCTCGAGGAACTTGGACCCTCAGCTGAAACTCAAGTTGCAACGCTTGGAGACTCAGAAGAGAGCAGCTTTGGACTCGGAGGAGACCGACGGGAGCGGGCGAGAGGGCAAGGGCGAGAGGAGAGAGGGGCCCGACATGGGCAACATGGGCAGTTGTGTTCACGACATTGGGCTTGAGCAGTTGTTTTTGGTATTGTGTTCCAATCTTTGATAATCACGAGAGCTCATGATCATACGGCCAGTCATACGGTCATCCGGCCGGTCATACGGTTTGGCGAATCGGCGAAGAGTTCGTCGGTCGTTGACGGGGCACTTGGTTGACGTGGCATGAATCACATGAAATACGTCGGAGGACTACGCGAAGGCCTTAGATGTGAAAAAGGAGATTGAGAAGATTCTCTCTGACCAGGTCTCTTGGCTTTCACAGTGCTTGAAAGAGCATCGAGGCTGTTTTGGCCCACGGTTTGGCAGAGTTTCATGCTGCCAACACGAGGATGATGGTTAAATTGTTTAACTTGAAGGCTTTGCTGTAGAGTGCTGTAGGCCGTTTACAGATTTGTGCCAAGGCTCATGCTCACATGCACGACATTCCGTTGGACATCCCCAACTCCAGCGGTGGCATTCCATTGTCAGAGGTGGCTCGTCACAACAAGCCCCATGATTGCTGGATTGCCATCAACAAGAACGTCTATGACCTGACGGATTTCTTGATCCATCATCCAGAACAGCGGAATTCCATTCTCGCTTGGGCTGGCAGAGATGCGACTCCAATGTGGGACAAGATCCCGGGACGCTTCCCCAGCAAGCAGTGGATGGATTTCTTCATGCGAAGCGAGTGGAAGATGGGCGATGTTGGTACTGAGCCCAAAAGGGACCCTGTCTACGACCAATTGAAGCAGCTGCATGATGAGTTGCGCAGGCTTCAGGGACCCTCCAAGGAGGACATTGAAGCAGCCAAGACGGCCGTGAAGGTCCCTGGCAAGACCGATGCGCCCACCCTTTCGGAGGAGTCTCGCTTTCCCAAGCTGGCCGAAATCTCCGCGGGGAAGGAACTCCCTTTCTTCACTCGTGCGGAAGTGGCCAAGCACACCACCGCTGATGAGCCGTACATGATCATCCACAACCGCGTCTATAACTTGAAGCCTCTGATGGGAAGCCTGGTGGTGTTTTTGCGGATCAGGTGATTTTTTTGTTGTCGGTCTAAATCTTCTTCTGGGGAATCTTGTTGACTTTGTCCCGCGAAATCCAAGGAAGTCACCCGGGAGGTGATGACATCTTGCTGAGCAAGGCAGGCACCGATACCACCAAGGACTTCGAGGTCTTCGAGCACTCGGAGAAGGCTCGGGTGCAGCGCGACCGGGACATGTTGGTGGGTCAATTGGTGCCCGGCGAGAACACCGACTGGTCCGCGGAGGCCACCGTGGCTCAGGTGGTGGGCGAAGAAACGTCGGAGGTGGGCCGATACATGAAGTACAAGGCCACGGACATTGCGGTTGGGGCTTTGGCATGGTATCTCTACAAGACCTTGCAAAACACCAAGCCTTTGTCACAGTTCACTTACAGCCGAGCCTTGCGACACTTGCATCTCATCATGGCCGTGGGCATTTTCGGAGCAGTAGGAACAGCTCAGGCCGCCTCCTACTCGGAAGGACAGACGAGGAAACAAATGCTGTGGTGGCACAAGCAGACCGGCCTTGCGATGCTTTTTGCTCTGGTGGTGCGCTTCTTCCTTCGCATGCAGAGCGGCATTCCTCCTCGCTTCCCAGGAAATCCCATGGTCCAAATGCTGGAGACACAGAGCCTTCGTGCATTCTACGTCCTGGCTCTCTTGTTGCCAGTCTCCGGCATTGCCAACGAATACTTCTTGAAGTGGGCTCCAGGCTCTGACAAGACTGGAAATGCCGAAGATGACAAGAGGAATGACAGGCTGGCCAAGCAGTCCATTGATGCCCACAAGTTGCTCGGAAAGTTCCTGCAGTTCGCTTGGCTTCCCTTCCATCTTGGCTACACCACCTTCTACCATTGGACTCAAGGTCGAGGCGTGGTCAAGAAGGTCTCTCCCTTCATCTGAGATCACCAATTGGCCGCACCGATGCGTTGCCAGGTGATCAGTTTCAGTGCATCCTCTTGAATCATTTTATCAATCTCGGGCATTCAAGGGTTGCTGCTTCATAGCTTTTGTGTAGGTTGCTGAATCTTCCAGAGCAATCTCAGGGGTGCCAAAGCAGTTGAACTGCTCCATGATCATTACTATTCTCCATATATATATATAACATGCACTTGCTTGAATGTCATAAGGCACACCCTGATGCAGTTTTGGCCGTGGGCAGCACGCATTCTGTGAATGGCAGCTGCGACGGCAACATGAAAGACACCTGCCTCGCAAATTGGCGGTGCAGTTGAAAAGCCGCGACGGCAGCAGCGCTTTGACCGGGACATGTGGACATGCGGACATGCGGACGCTCTGTCTGTAAGCCTCACAACGAAGCACGGAAGGCACTTGAGGTTGACGGTTTCGATATCATCAACCCCAGCAGTCTTTGTAAAGCCTGGAGTATTACAGTATTGAGCTAATTTTGCTTAATTTCGACAGTCTCTGAAAGACCATTAGCCTAGCTCATCTTATACATCGCCTACTCTTCTGCGTGAACTGTCCCTTTCGTTGCCAACAGTAACCCTTGGTTGACTGTCACTCAGTTCTTTCATGACCTCATCCGCCATTCAGAGTCGCCATTTGAGACGCCCCACCGACTCCCATCTTCCCTTCCCACAGCGCTGGACCTGCCCACCGATCACCCAGGTGAGACCATTCGCGCACGCCGACCGGGTCTCCGAACAAAAGAGCGAAGCGGCGCGACCGCGACCCCGGGGCGACGACTGACTGGCAGAACCAGCGCGGGGGGGATTGAGGATGATTTGGAAGACTTACTGTAAGAGGCTTTCCCAACTCTAGACCGAAGCGTGAGCTTATCCAATCTTTGGCAGCCGAACGCGGGCGGTGGGCACCCAGTAGGGCACCCACCACCCAACCCCATTCCAGACCTGGCTGGCAGGAGATGGAGTGTCCAATGATTTTTCTTGCGAGCTATTGGAACAGTGGCCCTGGTATACAGTGTTTTTTTTTGCAGCAAAGTCATCTCAGGTCATTTTCAGGTGGCAAACTGCCAGAAGTGCGCGCTTTCCGAACCAATCGGCTCAAAGAGAAGACAACGGCTTCACGTTTGAGACATGGGACGGGTTCCCCACTGTGCAAGGCAGCAAGAAAAGCAGCAACGGGACCCATCTGGCAGTCTGAATGACCATGTCTGGTGTTTTCACCCGAAGTTTGCGCAACTTCCGAGGTTTTCTCCAAACGCCCAACAACCGCAGCGGATGTCGCACTGCCGCCGCACTTGTTTTCTAGCTTGGGTGAATGAACAGCCAAAAACCAGGAGAAGCGCAGAAGACCGGTCACCAGAGCGAAGAGGCACCAGAGCGCACCCCGTTTTGGACGCTGTTTTCCAGGCTCCGGACAGGCAGTGACGCCATGGCAGTGACCGATGACCTGCCAGTAGGCGATGGCGACAGCGCTTTTGCGAAAGACGGATTGATACCTTTGGAGTCCGGTCGACCATGGCCATAAAACGAGTAGAATGCTCCTAGTAGCGATGCCAGGAGCCCCGAACGTACTTGCTAATAGTAAGGCCAGGAGCCCCTAGTGGTTACTTGCGTTGTGCCAAGAATGGTCGAACTGGACTTCTATAGGGATTCTAGGGTAGAGCGAAATTCAGCAGGATCTGATGAAACGGAGAAGCTTCATTTAGGGGAGTCAGCAGATGAAAAACGCCTTTGGCGATCTTCCCCATCTTGCGGTCTTGCGATCTCCCAGGATCGCCCATCAAGGACATCCAAATCCCACCTCTTAAGAAAATTTAAGAAATTTGGATGATTCAACTCGAATTGACCCAAACCTCCTTTTTAGAAGAGAAACCCATTCTCTCTCCCATTCTCTCTCTCTCTCTCTCTCCTCCCACACGCCTGCCACCCCCCCCCCTACCTGCCCTACCGAATCCCTCGCCGCCTCGCCCAGTGCCTCGTCGGATCACCAAAGCGTTGATCTCGGCCGCCAGCCGGCCGACGGCCTTGGACTCCAGGCCGCCGGGGGTCGGGGTCTTGGGTCGCTGGGCGAGCGACGTGGGCGTTCTTCGATCCGCAGTCGGGTCATGTGCGATTCGGGTGAGGACGAGGATGGGAGCGATGTGGAGATGTCGACCCGGCTTGAGAAAGAGGTTTTGTTTTTGGGGTCTCCAGGGGGATGAAGGATTCATGACGATCCGAATGCGAATCAGCTCCTCAACTCTGTTTGTTTAACAAAATAAAAGGGTTGGCCTAAAGTAATGATCTAACAGGATCAAACACCAAGGCCTCTGAACCAGAGCGGGCCTCTGCAAGCACTTCCCGAGCAGCCAAGCAGCGCGGTCGCGGGCGCTAGCGCCGCTCAGGAGCCGACCCAAGTCATTGATCGACATCGAAGGATCTACCCTCATCGCCCACGTGCTCCGGCAGTTGTACAGGCCGAGAGACTCAACATGTCTGGAACCTTGCACCCCACCATTCGAAGTCCTAGTAAATGACGTCGTATGATGGACTATAGTCACGTCTTAAGGCCATTCCTTTTCGGATCCCCTGCACCTTTTTGGATCGGTCGACCGTCAGGGTGCACTGTCTTGACTCACTCGTGGATGGGTCTTCGGGCCGCCCACCCCTTCCACCCGAAGCGATCCCTGCGGAACGTGGTTGGCACCGACGTGGGACCTGGCGCACGAGCCGAGCACGGCTCGAGCCCACGGCGGAGGTGGTTGGGGGAAGTGGGTGAAACAAGGATGAGGACTGCACTGAGAAGGCGGCCGAATGACCAGCACCACCCAGTTTGGGTGGTGATTGGACACGGACAATAGATAGTCAGCCGGGGATCTATAAACCACCCGACCTGGGTGGTGCTGGATTAGGCAGTTAATTCCTTTTTTGGGAGCTTTCGAGGAACTGAGCGCCAGCCCACGTCCCAGTCCAAAGCCAGTCCCATTGCCCGGCAGGTTCGGGTCTCGTGTCCGTGTACACTGCAAACCTCCCAACCTCCGATGAATACTTTCCGTGCCCCACCCACGCCGTGGCCGAAGCGCTTCACCGTGGCCGTTGTCGCCGTCGCCAGGGGCGGCATCCGACATGTGATCTTCGTCGTGTCTCACAATGGCTTGGAACCCCACCGAGACGCTTCTCGCGTCATGACTGGTGACTGGTGACCACGTGATGACCGGTGGGTTTGGTGTCGTTGTTGGGGACTCAACAGTGGACACTAGCCAGAAGAACACCACGAATTCTGGTGCGTGGTTGCTGGTAGAATTGAATCAATAAAGATCTTAATGTCCAACAAGATAAGACACATATAATTTCCAATTTTCCAACACTTACCAGGATCTTCCAAGTCCGCCTTTTGGACACCCCTTCTTCATCTTTTTTCGGGAGGGCCGACACCTCGAGGGGAAGGTCCTGCAGCCAGTCGGTTCCAGGGCTGAAGTTTTGAGAAGAAGGCAGTGCAGGCGGTGATGTTTTTTCTGCCAGCCCTTTTTTCCACTCCGAGATCCCTGGAGTACCTGAGAACATGGGACGTGACATGACCCGAACAAAAGACAGGCAGGACGTCGTACCCATGTTCTGAGGTACGAGTTCCGGGTCGACTCCAGTGTTGTTTTTTAAACGTACTGTTTCACATTCGAAGACTTCCGGACCCGGACGGGCCCGTTGCGGGGGTTGCTACGGGGTGGCCAGGGCCACCCTCTTTGGGTCGGATTGGGCAGTGAGGCCCTCTCATCGTGGAGGAGCTGGAGAGATGTACGCGGAACATGCGTGGGCTGCGCTTAGAGGTGCGGGTCCGCAGTGCGGTCCGGCCGGCGAAGACGCAGGTGGAGCCACAACGGGAATGGCTGGGACATCTGGGTGGATGCGACCAAGGTGGAGGGGGGGTGATGTGCATGAATCTCCTTGACCCATCGGGCATGCTAGGTCCGTTCGAAAGAAGTGCGCCATGAACTTTGGGGGGCCATGGGACCTTCATGCGAAGATTCATTGGCCCATATATTGATCCCCAGTTCCGAGCCAACAGGGAGCAAAGCAGGAGAATGACTGGTCCAGATGCAGACCATCCATGTATGCGGCCTTCATCATTCGGGTGCTTTGAGGAATCAATGTAGGTCTTCCCCTCGGTCTGGCGGTCTGGCGAACTCCACACGCCCAACCGTGACGTCGCCAGGTAGTAGACCTGCACGAAGATTATGAAGGTCTGCGGGCGTGGTCCGTGCGCTCGTATTTGAGGATTGGAATTCGGTTGGAAGGACGTGCGCTCGCTCGCTGGGGAAGGAGCTGCCTTCGTGAAGTTTGAGACCCATTTCGGTCCCATGGTTTGAAACCATTGACGTAACTGCAGAGGGATAGATATAGGGCTTCACGGATGATTTCAGGGTTTTCACTATAATTTTGGAGGAGTCTTTTGAATGTTCCGGATGCCGAACCTAGTTCTTCCATGGTTCGTTCTTCCTTACAGGACAGGCCCCCACCGGTGGTCCCAAAACCCGCCGGTGTCCCGCGTGCCCGGACCTCCACGCCGCCCACCGCGCCTCGGCCGCCTCGGCCTGGGAGGCTTCTATGCGGCCTCCCTCCTTTGCGCCTGTGAGCGATGCCTCCCGGACGGCCGGGACCCAGCTGCGGTCTCAGCGAGACGACTGGGTGGAGCGGACGGAGCGGATAAGACCGAAGGTCCAGTGACTCATGGACTCCTGCTATGGTGGATTGACCAGGGACGCGGTCCAATGGGTCCAAAGCGGAAGTTCTCAACCACCGAAGTCCAGCGCCGATGCCGATGTGGGCCGGGCACCGAAAAGGTGTGACGTTCCGATCATCGGACCAGGCCGATCAGGCCGTGTCAAAAAAAGCGTCTGGGACTCTGCAGACTCCCAGGTGATATGGCATGTGGGTCAAAACAGGGGGGACCTTGCTTGACCACGGAACATGAACAGAATGGACTAGCAGGTCGACCTACCGGGGTTTAGAGATCCAAGTTTTGACCCTCATATACCAGCACCGAACCCAACAGGTCTCCGATGGCTGGAGGGTTGGGAAAGGCCCTAAAACAGGTTTCAATTGGTGACCTGTTGGTCGTCGGTGCTGGTATGCAATGATGTACCTGCATGGAACTTCCGATCGAGTGCCTTTGTGTTCGATCTGCAGCGTGTTCCCCAACATCTTTTGGAGTGCAGATGGTTGCAGGTAGAACAGATGGTAAAAGGCAAAGAGGATATCCACTCAAACTGCCCTGAATCTTCCGGCGATGTGGAATTTCTGCGTAAAACCAACCAAGGTTGGCAGACATTCTGCATAATAGTTGGAGATCCAGGTCTCCTGGTCCTTTACCAGCTTTACTGTACCAGCACCGACTTCACAGGTCACCAAATGAAACTTGTTAGGGCCTAACAACCCTCCAAAGGAGACCTGTTGGAAGGTGCTGGTAGTGTATTTTGTATGATGAACAAAGTAGTCGGTCCAAGTGACCTGTAGGGTATAGGATTTCGTTGAGAGGTTTGGAATCACGCTTTAGCCGCTTTAGCCGCTGAAAAGCCACCATGCTTCTTCAGCTACTTTCGTTTTCGGTCTCAACATGGGCTGTATACCAGCTGCCCCTCCCGACAAAAAGACAATAAGTGCATGGATGTCCTATATGCCCCCGCAGAAAAGAATTGGGCCAGAGATCTAAATATTCCTATGAAGCTGATTGACCCCTGTTTTGGAGCCAAAACATGGTCTTTTCCTATATCAAAACAGAGGTCAAATGGGTGACCCGAGTTTGCAATACAATAGATGACCCGAGTTCCACACCCACCGTCTGGGTGGTGCCAAACGAGGCGAGCGAGCCGGGTGTCCTCATCGCCGCTGGGCGGGGCTCTTCGTTTCGGATGTCGTCTGATGTCTCCCTGCCCACCTGGTCACCAGACTTGAAACCTGGGTCACCAGACCCTAAACCCAACCCGCCAACTCTGGGAGGAGACCTTCGGATCGGTCGAACTCGACGGCTTGCTCCGAAGCGCCCGAAGTTCGGAACACTGCGGCGGGCGCCGGCGGCGTTTCTTGGCAGGGCGTAGTAGGACGGAGCACGGAGACCGCACGGTGGAGGTGATGTTTTGGGGTCCAAGAGAAGCCCAAAAAGCAGGGTCCTGACGAAAAATGGTACGTCCGGTGAACCGAATTCCGTGTGCTACTGGCTAGGACTTCTATTATAGGGGAATGTATTGTAGATGACAGGGTGTCCATGACTCTCCAATCCCAAAGGGCACAGGGCAAACACTACAACCTTACATGACATAGTGAATTCATGACTGTAAGGAAAGCAACTAGAAAGTCAATGGATCCCCTTCCACCCTCACCGCACATGCGAGACGACTCGCCTTCCTTTTTTTCACACAGCACGTGCAGGGTATCCCGTCCTCCCCGTCCGCTGCCCCGCCCCACGCCCGTGGCTGAGGCCACCGCCGACCATATCTTCGATGACACCCTGGTGACCGACATCTGTACCGCTCCGTTCCGCGCCCCGAGTTCCGCCGCGCGCGAGCTGCGAGGTCGCCCTCGCCCTCGGTATTCAACGGCTCGACCAGGTCGGTCGCGCCGCGAACGCACGGCGCACGGAGCCGGATCGGTCATGGCGCGGCGCCAGGCGTCTTTTGGGGGAGCGGGTTCGGATGGAATCGCTCCTTCCTTCGTCACGGGGCGTTGTGGGTCGTCCTTCGTCCCCCAAAAAGACCCTCAACCTCGACGACCGTCGATCCGAAGTGCCGCTCCGCTCGAGGCTCTCGCGGGGCACCACGGACGTTTGTGTCTTGGTGGACTTCAGCAGAGACAAGTGGAGCGGCCCGGGACCCCTTCTCCACCGTTCCTTCCGAGCCGGGACAGTTGGGAGCCGGTGAAGATGTTGAGATTCGAAGTCTCGGACTTGTTCATCCCTAGGGCTCCAAATACCTTCTGAGACTGTGTTTGGGGTGGGTGCCATGTTCGGGTCCAGTCATACCGAACCTGAGGAGGTAACCTCCTGGAGCCCTAGGGCATCCATACTCCGACCTAGTGAAACCATGTAAAACCACTGAAAAGCTGGTTAGATCGTGTGTTTTTGTTGGTATTCAGCATGGTGCAACTGACCTGGGGCCGGGGGGCCTGCAGGGAAAACCCAGGGACGTCCGAAGCCAGACCCACGAGTCTTGACATGTCCCGTCCTCGGACGTCTCGCCGCCAAGAGAAGAGGAGGCCACACCTCGGACGTCTCGTCCTCCACACCTCCGTTCTTTTGGAAAACTGTGGGACGAAACGAAGATGACTCACTGTGAGACTCGATTTGTCCCTGGAATTCACATGGCGATGGCATCCCCTGGTTTTGACTAAGGATTTCATGGTCTTCCAAGGCGCCATGTTCCACTTCCATGTTATAGTTCCAGGGAGTGTACTTGAAAACGATGGTTACTTGCACAACTCGGCCCGACATCCGCCGACACGCTAGCTGGATTCAGTTTTCCGACACAGGATCCGCCGCAATTTGGATGGAGTCTAGAGAAATTAATTGTGGGAGACTGAAGCCAATTAAGAAACTTGTGGTCACTCTCCTATTCAAAAGTTGGTCCTGCAGAAGTTCTGCCTCAGGATAGGAGGAGAGGCATGAAGTTGCGGCTCGGCTCCATGCAGCAGAGGATCCAACGACCCGCAGAATACAGCAGGAACGACCCGACGTGAACGACCAAAGCTTGGATCCCAACAGGGCCGGCCTTCTGATCCGTCTGGGACGGCCAGGCCGGACCGCCTGGCGGACCTGTGACCTCCCCGTTGATGACCTGGGCACCATGCCCACACGGCGTCCGTACTCGTGGAAAAAAAAAGGCGGACCTGTGACCTCCCCTGTTGGCCGAGGGGCCGTCCGAATCAGCAGTCCGTTGCAGTCCCAGATGGCGGTCGTGTTTGGGTTACCAACAGAGGTTGAAGGACCTCATAGACTATCCCAGTTGGGTACCCCAGTAAGGTCCTGTTAGGTCACTTAACCTCTATAGTGGTAGGTACCTTGTAGCATCTTGTAGCCAATTCCAAGGCTGCAAGATTCGCGTTGCACGGCACGTGGCGCGACAGTGTCGGGACACGATGCACCAAGAGGGAGGTGGCACGTTTTGGGGATAGATCTCAAGCAAAGCTTTGGGAAAAGGCTTTTTGGGTGGTCACGAAAGCTAGCATGCTAGCTGAGTTCTTCTTTGCTTTAGCAATGTTGTGGTGGGAGGGGCTGCGTGCCTTAAAGATTGATATATCAAGCTAACCCCCCCCCCCGCGGTTCAACTCCCAGCTGCGCCGTGTAGGGGGTTGGTTGAACGTGTGAACGTGGTTGGTTGGGTGTAACGGTGGCTTGGTGTAAAGGGTGCTGCTGCTGCTGCTGCCGCTCTGCTGCTTGCTGCTGCTGTTTGCTGCTGCCGCTGGTTGCCGCTTTTGTAGCTGCTGCTTTGCTACTTGTTGCGGCTTGGTGCTGCTGCTGCTGTTGCTGACGACGCCGCTGCTACTGCTGCTTGCTGCTTGCTGCTTGCTGCTGCTGCTTGCTGCTTGCTGCCGGTGGTGCTGCTGCTGCTGCTGCTGCTGGCTGCTGCTTGCTGCATAGGACTTGTACTTCACCGTTACAAGTTGTTTACCCCTATTTCTAACCTAATGCATGCATAAGCGGGTGGTAAATTTACCCCCCAGGCTTGCTATAACCATACACCGGCTATTTCCTCAAGACACTCTATTCTTGATACCTTTTACCAGTGCTTATCCTACACTACGGACGCCCTAGTGTATGCACAGTCCTTGTGATGCTTACCCCTCGTTCCGGCTCAAGGCATACATAAGCGGGGGGTAAATTTACCCCCCAGATTTGCCATAACCATAAGCCGGCTATTTCCTCAAGACACTCTACTCCTTCTACCTTTTACCCGTGCTTATCCTACACTACGGACGCCCTAGTGTATGCACAGTCCTTGTGATGCCAGAAATGCTTACCCCTCTTTCCAGCGCAAGGCATACATAAGCGGGGGGTAAATTTACCCCCCAGATTTGCAATAACCATACACCGGCTATTTCCTCAAGACACTCTATTCCATATACCTTTTACCCGTGCTTCTCCTACACTACGGACGCCCTAGTGTATGTACAGTCCGTATGATGTCAGAAATGCTTACCCCTCTTTCCGACTCAAGGCATACAAAAGCGGAGGGTAAATTTACCCCCCAGATTTGCCGATCACGCATCTTCGTGCCTGCCAACGAGTGCACCCGGGTTGTTCCAATGTACCCTTCCCAGTCAGCGATGTCACATTTACATTCTTTAGCGCAAAGTATGTACATAGCAACCTTCCTCCCAAAACATGTCATCCCTACATGCTTTGCCGACTATGTAACTAGTACATCCGGTGCGATTCGGCTAGCTTTCGACCTCTCCCCCCTGGCCTCAAGTTTAATCGGAGGTTTGCAGCTTGACTGAGCACACCGCTCGACTTGTCGGAGCTTGCAGGTGTGGCTCTGGTTTAATTGGAGCATGAAGATTGAAGGGGACAGTTTCATGGACAAAGCAATAACATCTCCACACCTCTGTTGTCATGGGTCACCTGCGGTTCCTTGGCTCCACAACGATCCTCGATCCTCGATGCGTGAAACACAAACGTGGTGTTCTCCTTGTCAACGCTCGTCAACAAGGCATAGCCTTCCTGTGACTCGAAATTGCCTTTCATCTCATCAGTTTCTCGGTGCCGACAATCAAAGAAGACTATGTGTGGCAGTTTGGTGTGAGGCTTTACAGCAGGTCTCAAGACTCAAGTTAGGGAGGGGGACAGCGCGCCACGACTTCTTGTGTGCCACGTGGGAGCTCAAGAAGTGAGTGCGAACATCGTTCTCACTGCGTCTGGTGTGATGCGGACAGTGCACCATCAACTTCGCGGCCCTCCCGTCCTCACTGCCCTCACCGCCAGAGGTCTTCCGGCGACCACCGTCGGGGTGAAGTGCAATGAGGACCTTCAGCGCGTAGGGGCCCTGTGACGTGGACAGAAGAAAGCTCTGCGCACACCTACCCTAACTCATGATGGACCAAATGCACAGGTCTGTCACAGTCGGTATGTCATGTATAGGCAATCATGCATTTGCATAGCTGCATAGCTGCATAGCTCATAGCTCATCATCAGCTGGGCATCCCGAAGAGTTTGAAGAAAAAACATGATTAAGAGTGTGGAGAGTGTGTCCCTTCACTTGTGCTCTCCAAACTCAAAGTTTTTCCATATTTTTCCTGTCTTCAAGGTGCATAGATTCGCTGCATGATGACAGTGTGATTAAATTCTTCATGTCGGTTCCACTGAAGCCGCGTTGTCTCAAACAGAGCCATTCTGAACATCAAAAAATCTCGCCATGCGCGTCGCAAGGGGACACTGTCAGATATGTCCAGATCATTGTGCACTATTCGTGTTTCAGTCGCTAGTGTTGCAGAAACCCTGGAAGTCCAAAGACTATTTTTTGACCGACTGAAGTAAAGAAAATTCCTTTTCGGGTCACCTAAAGACCGTTCTTTTTATAGTCTTTGACTCCCAGGGGAAATGTTGGCGCAAGAGAGGGAATGTGTGATCTAAGTTGTTGTAACCAACGGTATTTCAGTGTGATCGCAACTAATTGGGCGTTCCCTTCCACGGTTGCCTGGAATCGTTTGACCGAGCCAATGGGCCAATGCCCAGTTCGAAACATCAACCAAAACGCATCAAAACGCACACTCAAAGTATAGCAAAGTACATAAACCAACAATCCACATATCCCAGTACCCCAAAATCCACATCATGATGATTTTTTGACATATGGCCCAACAAACATCTCCAATTGTTCACGGGAGATCATTTTGACGATCCACTTCCACAGTACGGTATGTACTGTAAATGATGTATTGGGAAAGCGGGCAAGTTGTGGTTGCCATCAGCAGAACTATTTCGAGTTTGCTTCACTTTTTCTTTGGCAGCCCAGCTCACACAAAGACGGAGACACACAGTTGAAAAGACATGTGATATATATATATATATAAAGTTATATATTCATGTAAAACGTGTTTTTTTGGATCATGTGTTTTTTTTAAATCTCTGGGTTAAAACCAGTTGCAAGTCATACCAGTCCTAGCCTATCCGAATTTTGACACATCTGAGTTCCCATTATGTACTGTTATAAACATCTTTCCTTGGAGAGAGCCTGTTTTCAACATGTTTTTAAACAGTCAAATAAAAGTAAAAAACAATCCCAAAAGTCAAAGTCAAAAAAGTCAAATCAGAAAGTTTCAGAAAGTCAAAAGAAGGTCAATTTGCATTGCCCAGATCCGACTTCTTTTTTACTTTTGTTTTTCTGATTTTGTTTTGTTTTTGACTTTTGTTTGCCCCTTTTCGAGGTTTTTCGACTCTTTTGTTGATTTTTTCGAGTGGTTGATCTTTTTGACTTCTTTTTGACTTTCATTTGACTTTTCTTTTTGAATGTTTTTATAGTTTCTAGTTTTCTTCGACCTGTTTTTTTTGGACTTTTTCGAGCAGTGGTCTATGTCGACGTTTTTGTTTTTCTTTTCAATTTCATGTTTTGAATTTGACTTTTCCTGTTGACTTTTTTTTTTCCGACTATGTTTAAATCAAGGATTCTGGCCTTACCGTATGACAGATTTTTATAACTGTACCGTGGGAAAACACATCTCGCATTGGTTCGAACAATGACATGCAACCAACCTAACCAGCATCATTCACTCAGCATCATCCACTGTTCAACGGGCCCAAAACCATTTGGTGAACCTTGCTTCGTGGAAGCACCGAGGTGGCGGACCTATCTCGGTCCCTGGGGGCTCCCATGGTCAAAGGACGGGGATGGTGCGAAAGGAACTGGGTGGGGGGTGTAAAGGTTCTATGATCTATAGAAAAACCCAATGAGGAACACAAAACAATGGCCAGATGGCTGAAAACTCCACTTCTATACCACTTCTGTACCACTGAAGTCGCACAACGCAACCTGTTGAATGCCCATGGGACGAACACCCCTTCCAATTCCTCCTTTCTGGTCACTGCATTGGATGTTTGAGAACCTAAACCCACCCTAATCCCTAGACCCTAAACCCGAAACCTTAATAACGCTCAACCGATCCTCGGGATCCAACCGACCACCGGGACCCCGTGGCGGACCCGGGGATCGAGACTCGCCGGGGACCTGGTGGGACGGCTCGGCTGGTTCAAGTAAATCATGATCTTCTAGAGGTGGGGGAGTCGGTAAGGGTAATCAGATATGGTATCAAAACAGCTGTTTTGGGGATGATGATGATGATGATGATGATGATGATGATGATGATGATGATGA